TTTTACAAACCAAGATATATTTTACAGTACTTTTTTAGAGCCCCCCTTGAATGCAAAGCAAATTTTGGGAAAAAAAAAAAAAATAATTTTACAAAAAATTTTAATTAACCCTTTCACTTTAAAATTTTACCAACCTATATTTTAACTACCCAAAGGTTTAAGCTCAATACCCTGTTTGGTGTTTTCCGTAAAAAATTACTTAGTATGGGAGGGATAATGACTTGTTTTATTTTTTTTTTAAAAATTTTTTTCCTTTTTAGATTGAAAGAAAGCATTTTATGAAATTTTAAAAAGCCCCAAACTAAGTGGATTTTGATAAAAAAATAATTAGATTTTTTTTGGTATGTTTAAGTTGGTGAAAAAATGATCGCTTGTTGGTAACAGTGCAAATTCACCACAATATTTTTATTCTTAATTTATTGAAGCATTAGTTCCTTCGATATGTTTTAAAGTTTTCTGTACTTCATACATGGGGGAATGATAGCCTGATGTTGCCCACTTGGAAAATACAGTTAAACTGGACAAAAAAAAAAAAAAAAAAAAAAAAAAAAAAAAACCCATTTTTTTTTCGGGCGGGCTTCTAACACTAGTACAAGACTACTTTTTTATTACAACTGTTAAGGTTTAAAATTTTTTCTAAAACATGGAAAAAAGTCACAAAGCACACGGGTTTAAACCCCGGTAAAATTTTTTTAAAGCACCACTGTCTCCCCCCAAGGCAGGGTGACCCCCCCCCCAAAAAAAAAAAAAAAAAAAAAAAAAAAAATTTTTTTGACATAAAAGGGTTACTAGCCTCTGATCCCAGCATTTAGTTTTTTTTATAAAAGGCATGGCTTACAGAGGGAAAAAATTTTTGCCAGGGGAAAAACCTGGATTTTATCTAATGCAAATTGTGCAAAAAAGGTAAAAAACCGACAATATGAAAGTTAAGACACAGTCAACTCTGGAATCTTTTTTGTAGACGTTTCGCCATCCAGTGCTTTATCAATACAGTTTAGGGCAGAAAAACTATATACAAAAGATGAGGTAATCATCCCTCGGCCTGGGGTTATGTTTTCAGCATCGTGGTGGAGGAGAATCTGGAGCAAAGGGAAAAGGGCATCTACAAGACCTTTTTCACGGGTGCTGCAACTAACCCATCTCTTTGGAAGGACCTACTTCCACTGGGGAATCCCGCCTACCAGTGACTATGCCCTCGTCTGCTGCCGTCCCTATCCACTGACGCCTATATAACCGCCAGTCTTCTTGCCTTTGCTCCAGATTCTCCTCCACCACGATGCTGTGAACACTAACTCCAAGGCCGAGGGACTGATTACCTCATCTTTTGTATATAGTTCTACTGTCTTCCTATTATGTCCTAGAATCTGTATTGATAAAGCCACTGGATGGCGAAACGTCTACAATAAAGATATCCAGATGTTGCACATGTGTCTTAACTTTCATAATGCAATTTCTGAGTGCCTGTTGTGCCTTCCAGATCGCAGTAAAATATATTCACAAGGAAATCTTATATTACAATTATTTCATGGTTTAATAACTATGGAAATGTAAAAATAGGTCATATTGTTAGACTGAAAAAATACCACAGTAAAATAGGAAATAAAACCTGATCACTTTCTTGTGCTTACATACATCTTCAGAGATTTCTTCCATATTGGGCTAGCCTAGATTATACCTACATAGTGTTTACTGGTTGAATTCCACTATTATCATGAAATTGCAATAAATTTGGAATGAATAAGGAATCTTCCTGGTAGTTCAACACCCTGACCGCTGATGGTGGAACAACAGGTCTTTGTTTCATTGTTTACTTACGAATAAGTTAGCGCTACTCCATGATGCACTTTGTGTCCCACCTGGTCTTAGAATTTTACAAATGTGTCAAGGCATATGTACTCCTCAAAACAAGCATGTTTTGTTTTACATTATAACTGACAAGAAGATGCTAATCTCTTAGTATTGGAAAGCAAAATTACCTATAATGAAGCTGCTGTTGAAGTCAGTGACAGTAGGAAGTATTCAAACATTGAATACAGTCTGCAACAGACACTTGTATCATGGAGATTTTTCCTCATTGCCTCTGATTTTTACTCTCATGATCTCATTTAGCAGTTGTTTCCATATTATGAATAATAAATCAAATGAAGCACTAAACCTGAAGGGGTAAATCTATATTATCAATCACATCTACAACTAGGGGCTTGGACAGCCAATAGGCTTGTGTAAGCATGAAAAAATGGTTATAAATCATTACCATAATTTTAAAGAGGTTTAAACAGTTAAGCCAGCAGAAGGCCTCAGTCAGATGACTGAAAGCTCCAGCAGTGGGTCATCATATGACTAAGACCCACATCATGCTGTCTGACAAATCTTACCTTGTCTAACATGCTAGACAGGAGTGGAGGTAAATGCTTGTTATGATCTGACATGCTTTTGGAATGTGAGAAAGGTAACATCTATTAAGGGATTCAGAGAAACTGTTAGCCAGTCATTAGTTCTGGAGAAGGTAAGTACAGTGCTTCCACTCTAAAGGACTAGTGGGGATGCTGTATTCTGGAGGGTCATCTGAAACATGATGTTAGTGCACTTCTGGCAAGACGGTAACTGAATAAGTGAAAGTGTTTTTTTCCTTTGTTGGGTCACCCTACCTCAGTAGGAGACAGCCAATGTTAAAAATAAAAATCGAAAACTATCTTTGATAAAAAAAATGCAAGGAAAAGATATTATTAGAGGAAATTACTGGCAATAGTTCACTTCTCAGCTCCAAGGAAAGTGGGGAAGAATTCTTCCTCTGTAAGCCATGAGTCATGAGACAACTAAAATGCTGGGAGCAAGGGCTAATAACCACTGTACAAATTACTAAATGTAAAAGAAAAACTTTGTTTTTTCTTTTCTGTCCTCTCCCAGCAAGGCAGGGTGACCATGTGCTTAAAAAATGTTCACATCTCAGGAAACTGGAGGAATGGAAGAGGGAGGTTTAAAAAAAAAAATCAGAGTAAGAGAAGGAAGCCAATCACTCATGACTACAATGCATAGTTATCAATTTTATCATCCCAAAAATTAACAAAAATTAGGTATGGAGTAAAGTGGTAACTCGGATATGAACTTATTTCGTTCCAGAAGGCTGTTCAAGTACTGATACCGAACGAATTTGTTCCCATAAGGAATAATGTAAATTAGATTAATCCATTCAGACCCCCCAAAAATACACTTACAAAAGCACTTACATAATTGTTCACGTTTTGAGATGTTTGTATCCCAAGGTACCACTGTTATGTTTCCCCTGCCTCTCAGATAACAATGGAATTTCATGAGGGAAATGTATTTGGAGTTTTCAATTACAGTACTGGCATACCTTGCTAATACAGCAGGTTAGGTTCCAGACCACCATCAAAAAGCAAATCACAGCCTTTTTTTTTTTTTTTCCAATTGCCAGTGCATATAAAAGTTTAAAAAATGCATTTCAGGCTTTTATAGTATGAATAGCACAAGACCTAAAAAAAGATGCAAAAGTAAAAATATAAATAAAAAAATTGAAAATTGCCAAAAATCATCTTAAGAACAAGGCAAGTGCCCAAACTAATAAACATGAATATAATTGAAAAGTGCCAAATTAGCAAAGCACTCTAAAGTGAGCGCCGTATTAACAAAGCATTCTTAAGCTAGCGCCATATTAACAAGGTACGCCTGCACAAAGAAATAGAATTAATGGCCCAAGAAGCTGAAACAGAAGATTAATGATCAGCTAAATAACTCAGTTACAATAGTTTTTTATGAATCAACTGCAACCCTTAAGGGTTACAGGTTACAATTAGTTATTTCCCCACTAACTCTTATGGAATAAGATAAAAGAATTATGTCTGGTTATTTGTGCAGGAAACATTGCTATTGCAAATAACCGAGATGTAATTTCCTAATGCCACATTCACGGATTTAAGTTGTTCCATGTTGATAGAAATAACAGGAGAGGGTGTGGTAATGCCACATATGTCCAAGATAACATGAATTGTTACATAAAATAGGTATAAAAATCAATGGACAGAGAATCTGTTTGGGTAGAATTTCTTGAAGGGAAAGAAAAATCTATTTTAGGTGTAATATACCAATCCCCAAACTAAGAAAGCGAGAGAGGGAGACTCCTTTGGGATGAAATTGTTAGGGGTTCTAGATATGAAAACAGTAATATTAGGAAATTTAACTTTAGTCAAACTGACTGGACTTCTTTGGCTTTCTGGAAGGACTACTTTTTGAAACAGTTTGTAACAGACCTGACCTGATTTTGTCAAAAAAGAAAACCCTTGTAAATTATCTGGAGATCACTGAAGAGTTTGGCACATGTGATCACAATTCTGTTACTTTTAATATTATGAGAAAAAGGATAATATGTACAGTTAAGGTCTGATTTTCATTTGGCCAATTAAAATGGGCTTAGGGAACACCTGTCTAGTCTTAACTGGGGTTATCTGGCAAATGATTCTTTTGACGAAGATCATACAGTAACGACAGGCGATACCGAGATGCGAAAAAAGTGCAAGTACTGTTGAGAACATACTAAAGGATACATTTCACCATCAGTGGCTTTTTCAGTCTTAACTGAAGTAGCCACTCATGGCTAAATGTTTCTCTTTAATAAATGTCCTGCACTGTACATAAGTATCTTTTTTGGTAATGTCACTGTTTGGTGGATCACTAACTGTGATGTTCATGCACTTCTGGAAAGACACCTAAAGCAACTGCACATCAAATGTCAAAAGCCACCAGCCTCCATTCACTGCAATTCAATATGTTCATACATGCCTGCTGGATGCCAAAGCCCCTACCAGTAACAGTGCCTTCCAATCCTTATTGGGATACCCTTACACCACCATCCACCCACCCTGGATTATGCACCCTCTTGATCAACTTATCTCGATTCATTCTTTCTCACTGACCAAAACATTTCAACACATATAAAGCACCAATGTCACAGAATTACTTCCTTGGTTTTGTAAATAACTATGTCTTCTGAAATTACATTTATTCAGGAATAATAATATAAGAGATGATTTCATTTGGATCATACAAAATCTAAATACGTATTAACTTCCAATTTACATACAAATGATATACCTACCTTATACACTTTCCTGGGTATGTGGTAGATCAATCTGCTCTTCAATCTCCCTAATAAGGAGTGCTGTAAAATGAAGGCTATAAAGTTTTTATCTGGCCTTCTTTATTGCTGAGTTTAACAATATCTGATCTTATTAGAAATCAAATTTAAATTGATAATAAGCATCATCAAACACATGTACCCGAACATATCCATCTTCTCCTCCACTGGCATACCCTCTTCCATTAGGGTGAAATGATATAGAGTTAATAGGACCAAAATGACCTTTTACGCGAGCAAATTCTTCTTCAAATACAAGGTGGAAGAAGCGTGCGTCGAACTTGCCAATTCTAGACGATGTTGTTGTAACGTCCATTGCTTCCTGACCACCACCCATGACAACATGAGGATATGTATCTACTAGAGGAGATATTGAAGCAGAGTTGACAGGTCTGTCTGTCTTGTACATTTTTAGAGGTTCAAGAGTGGCTAAGTCCCAAAGACGTGCAGTCGTGTCTTTACTAGCAGTGATCAGCATCATACCATCATGGCTTAGTTGCATATCTTTTATCAGCTTGGTGTGTTCTTGTCCAACTTCCATCTGAAAAATTTACAACATTCATTGTTATTTCCTGCATTCATAGGGAGGTGAGGCACGTAGCCTTTAGTGGAAAGTAAAGGATAATCCTTCAGTTCAATCTCCTTTCCACTTTAGCATATGAAGCAAAACACTGTTTACCTCGCTGGGTGCCAGACGGTGGGGTCACCATATTTCTGTACCTTTAAAGATTACATAAAGGAATTATATCAAGACTGGAGGTTAGAATGTTAAGGAAATTATTATAAATGGAGCTGTCTTCGATACTTCAAAATAAAATTGATCCTACAAATTTGTGAAGTTCCGTATTTACAAATTTGGATCATCCAAGAGTATTGAAAACCAACCAGCAAATACATTAATTATCCAACAGCAGTCTGACTCAATGGCTTGCTCATGCCAAATCACTATTATGATCATTATTTCTTGTAAATATCAATATTAACCAGACTTGTGATTTATTACAAATTTTTTTTTTTTTTTTCAACAAGTCGGCCGTCTCCCACCGAGGCAGGGTGACCCAAAAAAAAGAAAGAAAATCCCCAAAAAGAAAATACTTTCATCATCATTCAACACTTTCACCACACTCGCACATTATCACTGTTTTTGCAGAGGTGCTCAGAATACAACAGTCTAGAAGCATACACATATAAAGATACACAACATATATTAAATATACAAATATTAAATACAAAATGAGCCCTAAGTTTAAACAAAATGTGCAGAATTTTTTTTCTTAGCACTCATTATCTTTTTGCTTGGTGCACAGCCCCTAAGTTGAAAATCTACAGGATTTCACTTAAAATGTTTTCATTCTCTCCTATGAATGTCAAAATGAAGCAGATTAGATAAGTATTTAATGGGTTAAAACTATGTCAATAATTTGGACTTGCAAAATTTCTTATTATCTATGGTTCTGGTACCATCTTCACCTCCAGGAACCCAATCCCTGTGAATTTACAGACTCAACTGTAATGTAAACTGACTACTATTGCCAAATTTGAATGAATTTTTTTTTAAACACAAGACAAGGTAATCTAAACAAGGAAAACACATTCACAATCACTTATTCCCTAGTTGTTTTTCAGAACTGCATGGGCATCATTATTATTATTAACCATATACTTTATTAAAGCCAAATTAAAATTTTCTGTTTCAATTTTGGGCCTGCCAGAAATCCTGTGTACATTATGGGCTCCACAGTAGTAATGTGTGCAAATATACTTTCCCATAAAGGGAGGGCAACTGAAACAGGGAAAACATTCGCCCTCATTCATACCCTAGCTGTTTTTCCTGAAGTGCACAAAATATCAGAAATTATAATGTTTTCAAAAATGAAAAAAAAATCCTACCCAACATACTGTATTAATGGTAAACAAAATATGTATTGTTAATGTTAGTAAAGTATAAAGAAGTACAGTAACATTTTATGCTGCAAAACACTTGCTACACAAATTAAATAAAAACTACCTCAAGCAAAATTTATACGCAAAATTTACGAAAACTGTGTATAATTATCATGCAGTGAACTGCAGTGCTGTAATTTATACACTACAATAAAAACTACTTCACAAACTGAACTTTGTATGTTAATTCGGTATCAGGTCCTACTTTTTTTTAATACATCAGTAATTTCCCACCAGGAAAGGCTGGAGCATAATTGGATGCTGTATAAATCTAGGGTGGAAGGTAAGAAGGATAGTGGTCATCCCTAACACAGGGGCTTTAAGTAAGCACGTGTGAGTGAACATTAGATCTGAGTGGAGACAAGTGGTTTTTAGGATGAAGTGTTGTTGGAGCATAAGCAGAGTAACATTTATGAGGGGATTCAGGGCAACCATTTAGCCAAGCTTGAGTCCTGGAGGTGGGAACTACAATTCAGTGCCTGAATCCTGAAGCAGAGGTGGGGATGTTAAAGTTCAGATGGTCATTTGAACTGTGATATCTGCATACTTCTGACAAGACAAATAAGGAATGAATGATGACAAATGTTACCTTTTCTAAATCCCCCTTCCTTGGTGGGAAATGGCTGGTGCAATAAAAATTATGTATACACACATACATATACACACACATACATACAGGTAGTAGGTTGGTAGACAGCAACCACCCAGGGAGGTACTACCGTCCTGCCAAGTGAGTGTAAAACGAAAGCCTGTGATTGTTTTACATGATGGTAGGATTGCTGATGTCTTTTGTCTGTCTCATAAATATGCAAGATTACAGGCATGTCTTGCTACTTCTACTTACACTTAGGTCACACTACACATACATGTACACATTTATTTATACACACTCATCTGAGTTTTCTTTGATTTTATCTTAATAGTTCTTGGTCATATTAATTTTCCTTTTATATCCATGGGGAAGTGGAATAAGAATCTTTCCTCCGTAAGCCATGCGTGTTGTAAAAGTCAACTAAAATGCCGGGGAAAAAATGGGCTAGTAACCCTTTTCCCGTAAAGATTACTAAAAAGAATAAGAAGAAAAAAATTGTCAAAGGGGAAATCTGAATTTTGCGTGGATGTTGTGCAGATGATAAGAAAGAGTGAAAATTTTGGATGTTATGAATGAGAAGAAGCTGGATGTCCTGCCCTTTAAATGAAACAAAGCTGAAGGGGGTGGGGGGAGTTTCAGTGGAGAGAATAAATGGGATTAGGTCAGGGGGTTTTAAATAGAGTTAGAGCTAAAGGAGTAGCAATAATGTTGAAGGATAAGCTATGGCAGGAAAAAGGGACTATAAATGTATTAATTCAAGATTATGTGGAGTAAAATAAAGATTGATGTGAAAAGTGGGTTATAACAAGTGTGTATGCCCTGGAGAAGAGAGAAGTGTAGAGGAAGAGAGAGATTTTGGGAAATGTTGAGTGAATGCGTGGGGAGTTTTGAATCAAGTGTGAGATAATGGTGGTTGGGGATTTCAATGCTAAAGTGGGTAAAAATGTTATGGAGGGAGTAGTAGGTAAAATTTGGGGTGCCAGGGGTAAATGTAAATGGGGAGCCTTTTAAATTGAGCTATTTTGTAGAAAGAAATTTTGGGAATAAGTAATACATAATTTATGAAAAAGAGGATAAATAAATATACAAGGTATGATGTAGCACGTAATGAAAGTAGTTTATTAGATTATGTATTGGTGGATAAAAGGTTGATGGGTAGGCTCCAGGATTAAAATGTTTATAGAGGGGCAACTGATATATCGGATCATTATTTAGTTGTAAACTACAGTTAGAGTAAGAGGGAGATGGGAAAAGAGGAAGGTGGCAACAACAAGTAAAAGGAGGTGAAAGTGTATAAACTAAGGGAGGAGGAAATTCGGGTGAGATATAAGCGACTATTGGCAAAAGGTGGGTAGTGCAAAGATGAGTAGTGGGGGGTTGAAGAGGGTTGGAAAAGTTTTAAAAATGCAGTATTAGAATGTGGGGCAGAAGTTGTGGGTTTTAGGGGGGTGGGGGCAGGGGAAAGAGGAGTGATTGGTGGAATGATGAAGTAAAGGGTGTGATAAAAGAGAAAAGGTAGCTTATGAGAGGTTTTTTCAAAGCAGAAGTGTTATAAGAAGAGCAGAGTATATGGAGAGTAAAAAAAGGGAAAGAGAGTTTTGAGAGAGTGCAAAAAGGGGAGCAGATGATAGAGTGGGAGAGGCACTGTCAAGAAATTTTAATGAAAATAAGAAAAAATTTTGGAGTGAGTTAAAAAAAGTTAAGAAAGCTTAGGAAAATATGGATTTGTCAGTTAAAAACCAGAGTAGGGGAGTTAGTAGATGGGGAGATGGAGGTATTGGGTAGATGGTGAGAATATTTTGAGGAACTTTTAAATGTTAAGGAAGAAACAGAGGCAGTAATTTCATGCACTGGTCAGGGGGGTTACCATCTTTTAGAGTGAAGAAGAGCAGAATGTAATGGTGGGGGGAGGTACGTGAGGCCCTTACGTAAAATGAAAGGGGTAAAGCAGCTGGAACTGATGGGATCATGACAGAAATGTTAAAAGCAGGGGGGGGGGATATAGTGTTGGAGTGGTTGGTACTTTTGTTTAATAAATGTATGAAAGAAGGAAGGTACCTTGGGGTTGGCGGAGAGCATGTATAGTCCCTTTATATAAAGGGAAAGGGGACAAAAGAGACTGTAAAAATTATAGAGGAATAAGCTTACTGAGTATACCAGGAAAAGGTACGGTAGGGTTATAATTGAACGAATTAGAGGGAAGACAGAATGTAGGATTGCGGATGAGCAAGGGGGGTTTCAGAGTGGGTAGGGGATGTGTAGATCAGGTGTTCACATTGAAGCATATATGTGAACAGTATTTAGATAAAGATAGGGAAGTTTTTATTGCATTTTTTGGATTTAGAAAAGGCATATGTAGAGTGGATAGAGGAGCAATTTTGGCAGATGTTGCAAGTATATGGAATAGGGGGTAAGTTATTAAATGCTGTAAAGAGTTTTTATGAGGATAGTGGGGCTCAGGTTAGGGTGTGTTGAAGAGAGGGAGACTACTTCCCGGTAAAAGTAGGTCTTAGACAGGATGTGTAATGTCACCATGGTTGTTTTTAAAATATTTATAGATGGGGTTGTTTAAAAGGGAAATAAATGCTAGGTGTTTGGGAGAGGGGGGGGATTAAATTATGGGGAATCAAATTCAAATGGGAATTGGCACAGTTACTTTTTGCTGATGATACTGTGCTTATGGGAGATTCTAAAGAAAAATTGCAAAGGTTAGTGGATGAGTTTGGGAATGTGTGTAAAGGTAGAAAGTTGAAAATGAACATAGAAAAGGTAGGTGATGAGGGTGTCAAATGATTTAGATAAAGAAAAATTGGATATCAAATTGGGGAGGAGGAGTATGGAAGAAGTGAATGTTTTCAGATACTTGGGAGTTGACGTGTCAGCGGATGGATTTATGAAGGATGAGGTTAATCATAGAATTGATGAGGGAACAAAGGTGAGTGGTGCGTTAAGGTATATGTGGGTCCAAAAAAAGTTATCTTTGGAGGCAAAAAAGGGAATGTATG